CCATGGAGCTGAAGAGGAGAGATATTTGTTATGTAGAGTAGACTAACTCAGGGCCCCTAATGGCCCATTGACAAAGGTGGGGACTATTAAGAGTGAGTCTGTTTCCTGCCTAAAAACATGTTTCTTCATTTCTGATCTAGGAAAATATAATATTCTGCCTTTTCAATATTTCCCAGGATATTTCATTTTTTCTAGGAGAGGGGTGGGTACTAAGTTCCTACAGTAAGGAACCTTATGCCTTCTTAATCTTGGATAAGACTGGTACTGAATCTTTTCTCAGTGATTCCACTGGGTTTCTATTAATCTTGAACTGAAGCTTTTAACAGATTTCCTAAAACTTTTGGGTAACAACAATATGCCATATGTGGGATTGAGAGGACATTTTCACAAAATGTCTGTAGTTAACAAATGGCAAAAGACTATGGCCAGGCTATCTGAAAGTTAGGATGAAGACCTATGCATTCCCCATTATCTCTAACTTCCCAATTGATGATAAAATGAAGGTCAGTTTCCAACTGTATCTTATAAATAAAAAAAAACTCAAGATGCCTTGGGTTGGCATCCCATTGGTAAGCCTTGGACCTTACCAATAGGATTACTATGTTTGGAGCATGGCATTGGGCTACGGTTACTATCAAAGGGACACATTGGTGGTGGCAAACACTCATCTTAAAACATAAGTCAAAATGACCGAAGAGATCCAAAATGGGTATCTGATTAAAATAGCAAAATCACAGCAATCATTAGGTTCCCAACTAGCTGAAGCTAGCACTGATGCTGATCAGAGAAAACCTTCAGGTTTGCAAAGAATGGAAAGGGCATAAACACAGTTCAATACTTTACAGCTGTAAATTGTAAATAATTTACAAAGAACTTGGATGGGGTTGCCCAAGGCATCTTGGCTGTCCTCCTATCTGATAACAAGAGCATTTTGTATTGGTATGCCACTTAGCTTAACAATAACACAAATGCCATAATAATTGCCTCTTTTTTGTGTGTTATTTTAACCAGATGACCCTCATTGCATCTCAGGGGAAGCATAAAGACATTCCCTATCTAAATCTTTGAGAAAGTTGCCATTGTAAAGGTATATAATTGTAAATCAAATCCATCCATCACTTAGGAAGGACATATGCCTGAGGGGTTTGGTTTGAAATGAACAGGAAAAAGCTTCCACAGTTAAATCAATTGTGACTGACTTGTGTCCAACAAAGAGAGGGGATAGAAAAAAATTCAGCTAATATAAGTTATTGAACTAATACAAATTTATGCATAGACATATAAGATTTTTATACAGATAGAAGTATGAAGAATAGACCTCTCAATGTTGCCTCCAAATAACAAACAGGGCTTGTTGTGGTTATTGTTTGGGGAAGTTGCTCATGCCAGAGCCTTGTTTGTGAGAGATTAAATATGTGGGTCTCTGGGTGTTAATTTAAATTTAAGTGCAACTATGAATCAGAAGCAGGTGCAATTCTTGCCAATTGTGTGATTCTATTAGTGTGTGTGTGTGTGTGTGTGTGTGTGTGTGTGTGTGTGTGTGTGTGTGTGTGTGTGTGTTTATGTTCAGAGCTGGATTATGTACAGCAGCCTGAATAAACCAGCTTGTGTTTCAGACCTAGAAAAGGTGGCTATTAATTCAGGATGGAGGCAAAACAACCCTAAGAATGACTGCAGGCAGGAACTGCTATAACAATAAAGGAAGGGATAGTTGAATGTTAGTAGGAAGGCAATATAGTATCTATATGTGCTGCCTTAGTCTCTGCCAACCTTGATAACATGGCTAACATGCTGTTAATAAGTATCAAATTAGTTAACACAAAAGTATTTGCATCCGCAATATCTTCCAAGAAATACCGTATATCAACTTTGCCTATTTAAATGGTTGATAGAAGGGACTTATATTAGTATTTTACAAATGCACACCCTGGTTTTAAGTGTGTGTATCAATTGGAGCTTCCAGGTAGGGGAAAATAATGTTTTTAATTTCTAAGAAAGTCATTCATCTGCTGAAGTAACCTGGTCTGCATTTCCATTGTGCTGGGAAAATGAGACAGGACTGAGATTGAGATTGGTGTACCCTCTACCTCACTGCTCAAGAGCTTACCTCACTCACTATGGGAAATACACAAGCGTCAATGGTGGACATTACACACAAACAAGAAGAGAAAAGAATCGCAAATAAGTCACATTTTATAAACAGTATTCAAGACACTCCCAAGTAAAACAGAAGAGACTGTATGGGGTATGCAAAGGATGATCTTCATAGAATTAAATTTGGATGGGGTAAATCTAATAGCTGCTCAGTACACAAATTCAAAGTAAACATTTCCACAAAAGATTATTCTATCCTCTGCTTGAACATATTCAGCAAAAGGGAACTACAGTTTTTCTGGGCAATTAGTTCCACTGTCAAGCTGTTCTTATGGACAGAACAAGACTTCCCAATATAATAGCTGCCTTCCCGTAATTGAAATCCATTATTCCGCCTCCTACACTCTGTAATGAGAGTGAACAGGTCTTTATTATCATTTACTGATCTGATTATACAAGACCTTTATTTTGTACAACTTAAGACAGTGTATGTAATGCTTCCTCCTATTAGCTTCACAACAACTACCTACTGAGGTGGATTATGCTGAGTGTGTATGACTGGCCCAAAATCACCCATCTGGCTTTCATGCCAAAAGGAGTGCTAGAACTCCCAGATTCCCAAATACTAATCAAGCCTTTTAACCACAAACTGCCTCTTTATCTTTTGAGTGACATCTTTCAGCTTTTTGAAAATTGTAATCATCCCTTTTTCCCCAATCCAAACATGTCTGCTTTCTCAAGGCTAGATCTTAGAATCTTTCTTCATAATTGTGATTTTCACTTTTCTGCTCTGAATCTTTCAGTTTTTCTAAACATTTTAAAAATGTGGGGTCCAGAAACTGGACACAATACTTAAGTACCGTGACCAAAAAACCTGAAATGATTTCTTCCTGTGAATTTAGAACGTAATCAGCCTAAAATAACTTGTGTTTTGAATAAATACTTGAGTACACATCTTTTTACAATAGTTGAAGTCCCAATTGTTATTATTCTGTTTCTATTAAAAAGAACAGTTGCAATATTTTTAATTTTACTCTCTAACATCAAAGTAGTTCTCTTGATGGGGTAGTCCTAGAAGTGTAAGAATTAAATAAAATATCTATTGTTGCAGAGATCTTTTAAACGGCATCAAAATAATGTTGAATGTTGAGAAAGTGAGGATACCGTGGAAATGTTATTAGCCCCACACTTCTTTGGGAACAAAAAACAGCCCCTGCCCACTTGAGCTTAGCAAATACTACAAGGTAAATCATAAAACCTCAATCAAGAATATTTAAAGAATATACTTCACCTTTTTCACAGCTGTAGGGCTGCTGTCAGCACTGGGAATGGGACTAACTGTAGGGCTTGGGTGTTCTGGCGGAATGCACCTTGCCATGTACACATTATAGTCTAAAAGTATTTTCTGTCTGATGTTGAGACCCAAGTCCTTCAGCTTTGGCTGAGGAAGGACTTCTTCTACACTTCCTTTACTGCTACTGCGGCTGTGTGTAAGAATCCCGGACTGGCTATTGGATCGACTGTGTCCTGGTAAGAGGCCTGAATATAATAAGAAGGAAAAACAATGGGTAAAGCATTAATACATAATCAAATATGGAACATAAGAATTAAACAGAATGAAAAAACAGAAGATTATGATGCCAATAGTCAAGCAAATTACAAGGTTGTCAATATGACAAGTCGGTTAACATACACCGTGATTTAATCTATTTATTATGGAAGTAAACACATTACTATTCCACACAATCTATTCAAGATTTCACTTCATAATAGTTTTGACTTTAACGTAAACCACAGGAGATATCACTTTGTTGCCTTCAGTTGTTGTTGAATTCCCAGAGACACAGCCAACATGGACAATAGTGAAGTATGCTGGGCATTGTATTGTAGTTCAATAACATCTGGAAAGCCACAGGTACTTCCCCCTGCCCTCTGCCATTCTATGGCAAATGGTAAGTAAACTATTTGGTCATGCATATTTTTCAGTACCATATATAAAGACACCAATCCTTAATTTAAAGCAGTGTTTTACAATGTTTACAAGAAACTGTCTGAAAATAAATCTTAATAAATAGAACAGAGAGAATTTTAGAGAAAAGAAGACAACTGAGGATGTAAAGCTCTGCACCAAATCTGATACGCTGAACAATATGCATGACCAAATAGTTTACTTACCATTTGCCATAGAATGGCAGAGGGCAGGGGGAAGTACCTGTGGCTTTCCAGATGTTGTTGAACTACAAGATAATGCCCAGCAGAGTTCGCTA